CAGTTTAGAGGAGGTGGAGCAGTTTAAAACACAGGGAATCAAACACCAAACATTATAGCTAGAAGCCATCCCAATCATAGAATCATAGGTTTGGAAAGGACCTTTAAGATCATCAAGTCCAACAAGATGAAAGGTCTGCAACCCAACTGCATCCTGATGGGCATAATGCCCAGTGAGTGGGAAACCCTTTCAATCACCAGTAATACCCAAATCAGGATGAAATGGGAAGAGTATCTGATCAGCTCCATGTCGGCTGGTTGTCCAGAAAGGAAGTTCAATCTCTGCTCCTATCTGTAATGTATGGAATTATATTTTCCATATTATACAACATAGAAATGTACCCTGAGGAACCATGTATTGTTTCTGCTCTACAAGCAGGTCCTTTCCAACCCTAACTATTCTATGATTCTGTGATTTATGTGTACTTCCCACAGTGCCTTTGAAAATCCCTATTTTGAATGTTGCTGTCTGTTGGATAAACAGCTTTCTACCAAACCTTCTCTGCCTGCAATAATTTATGAAAATCACAACATTGATTTAAACTCTTCTCAGTGCTCCATAAATTTTATACAGCCCTTAAATTATAAAACTGCTGCTGCTGGGGCACCGCTGAGAACAATGCTTAATCTCTTCTCTTGAGAAAGTTGGCATATCAGAGGAGAAAAGAAGAGACTCAGGCAGCTGAACTGTTTGTTTCAATTTACAGGGCAGAATAAACCAGCCTGGATGCCAGCGCTCTAGTCCCACTGAGACCGTGTGTATCAAGATTGTATTGCCAAAATACTGCTTAGCTGCTCTGACCTTCCTCTGCCTTTCCTTGGGTTGAAAATCAGAAAAGAACTCGCATTGATTTCACAAGGATACTTTTTTTTTGCACACATCATCACCTTTGTGACACTTGAGATGTTCCCCTTCTCATTTACAGTCAGCGTGTTCCTGCTCTCAGATTCATTCAGACAACAAAACCCTGCATCTGCCCAATTACATATTGGTGTAAAAAAGCTCTGCAAACCTCACTGTATCCTTATCACACAGTCTCCCTCCCAGCCCAAAGCGGCACTAGAACAAATGTAGGGTGGTTTTTTTTTTTGCTTTGACTAAAATTAGAGTTCTTAGGAGCGTTTGATTTCTTTTTTCTACCTTCTCTGGCAAAGATTAAAGCCATCATTTTTGGCACTGAATCTAACACAAGGTGAAATTAAGGTCCTACTATAAAGAAACTATGCTTGAATGGGTTCCTTTCCTCTTAAACCTGGCCTAGTCACACATTAAAACTGCAGACTGCTTTGGCCTTAGTGAGATGTTGGCTAAGAGCATGGTTGTTCCTGGTGAACCCTCATCTGGAGTCATTATTAGAACCACTCTTTTTGGTGTTTCATCTGGGGATCCAAAGACAGCAGCTCCTATCGTCTTTTTCTTACCACTGACACTTTCCAGGTCTTTCCCCTCTCCTGATAACACTTCCTCCTCTGTCATTCAGACAGACTTTAAGGGATGTGTTTTCAGCCTTTCTGTACTCACGCTTTTCTCCCACGTAACCCTGTGGGTTTCATCCTTCCTCGTACACTGTTTTTGCTCAGAGGTATACAAACCATCTGTGCCTCTAATACAACGTTCTTAAATAGCCTCCAGGCAGATCTCTGTGGTTTTTAAGTACTTCTCTTTGCCCTTCAGCCTGCTGTTAACCATTTTCCTCATAGTTTTATAATCTGCCCTTTTAAAGTTCATTGTTACTGTGTTGTCCCTAAGGGAACCACTCTTTCATGATATCAAACCTAAAAGTGTGCAGTGATCACCGCTACCCCACGGAGGCTCGACAACACCTTTCTCTAATAACTTCTACAAGGTAGCTCCCTCTTGCCTATGGCCTTAACTAATCAGGCATTGCACTGACTGCCACAGGAGTCAAGGAAAAGGAATCCTTTGCCATATGGACTGGAATGGCACCAAAGCCACTTTACATCTTCTGATAAGAGGAAAAACTGCTTTTGCCAGCTGTCGCTTTACCTTCAACAAAAAGCAATCATGGGGTAAACACTAAAATTCAATCTTGTGCAATTTTCCTGAGCAGTCCCATCCATTTCCCCAGGAGGATGTAACTGCCCAGGGGCTGCCTCTAAGATTTTATAGGTTCTCAAAAGCCCAAGGAACCCTACAGGAGGTTGCAGTCACTCACATAAAACCCTGTGCTGTTTCTCCCCTGGTTTTAATGGTTACCTCCCGACTGCCGCCTTTGAAATGCTCTGAAGGAAGTGGGGTGAAAGGGGAGGTCTGTGACATGAACAAACTCTCTGCAGATGGAACACCTCGCTCTAGGAATGGGCATAAAGGGATGATTCTCAAGAGGCAGCTGGTACATCAGCCTTTCAGTTTGCTGTACGCACAAAGGATTGATTTATGGCATCCTGCCACAGGAGAGGGCTATAGGTTATTAACCAACTTCAATAGACAAACGCTTGCTGAGGCTGCATATCATACCTCTTGTGCTGTACCGAAGGTAATGACTCATCTTCAGGCATGCCTGATGTCCTTGAGGATGCAATTGGCTCTACACAGCAGAGTAAAGCATCACTTAGTTAATACACTACAGCACAAGGGAAACAATCAGCTGAAATGATGACATTGCTACTTCCTGCTTCATTATAAATCTCCAGCTTCCTAACAGGATTATATACTGAAGCACTGTAAGAAAAAGAAAAGACATTAAGTCCTGTAATGAAACATAAAAAATGTGTAATTAAACCAGCTAAATCCAGGCTTCTTGTGCTCAGTGTCTGCAAAATGCAGCCTTTGATCCTCCAAATGATGCTTCCTGCAAAAGTGCTGGACACAAAACCAATCAGATAGAATTCTGACTCATTCCTTCCTGTTTAGGCCAATGAAATGAACATTTGCAGTACAACAAATTTGGTTTTATTTAAGGGAAAAAAAAAACCAACCTTTTCAGACAGGCTGAAAACCAAAGGTAGGAGCTCTTGGGCCACTCACGCATGCATTTTCTTGCTCATTCTGTCCCAGGTCTTTGCCATTTCTATCTCATAATGCAGCATTCTTAATGATTCATCTTGATTCCTATCATTTAGAGAAAGATCCTGTTTCTTCAGAAGTAAGAAAGGTGACGGAGCATCTCACTTTTCCTGATGGCATCCAAGTGCAACATAAAAAGCTTCCCCTATAGGCATCCATTGCTGCAGTGCTACTACAGCACACCAAGTTTCTTTTGGCCTCCTGCTCAGCAGTGAGAACTGACACCATCTTCAGTGAAAGCTTCGGAGTCTTAATGAACTGGGAAATAGCCGATTTTATTACTAAAAACTGCATAAGATTCCTTTGTTAGCTAACAGGCCATGTCTGACCAAGATTACTGTATTAGGTAGCAAGCCTCAGCTACTTTCACCTTGCTCCTCAAATAGAATCAACTAGGTTGGAAAAGACCTTTAAGATCATCAAGTCCAACCATTCCCCCAGGACTGCCAAGACCACCACTAAACCGTATCACTGAGGGCCTCTCACCCTTAGCTGAGCAAGCTCCATAAGAAGAAAACAAGTCAGCATTCCCCACTACAGGAGGGTAAAAGGACTGGGGATGGGAGCAGGGAAGGAAGAGAGAAAGGAAAAGCAAGAAGAACTATCAATTCCAGTCCTAGCCCCATGTTCTATGCACTTACTTTGCCTTCCCCTTTATTAGAAAGTTCTTGCCATTATTGGTTTTCTATGTTCCATTGCTTAAGGCAGGTGATTGCTTAAGACAGTTTCACATTGCCTTCCTAAATGAAGAAGTAAAAGTCTCTTTAGTCTCAGGTTTAATGGGGAGTTGGTGGCATGGATAATTTTCCTGGTGTGGCACGACTATTCACACTATTCACTTGACTAAAATGCTTTTGTGCATCACTCACACCTCTTAATACATCCAGTTAGTTACTGTGAGGTGAAATGGGAGTGAAATACAATGAACACAAAGGACTCCTCCTGGTCAGAGCACTACAAATCACAGTTGGAATAAAGGAAAGATACTGAGTTTCCATATCCACCTTTCTTTCCCCTGCTGTGCTGCCTGAAGAACGACATACCTTTCATTATATTATTTCCAAGTAAATCCAATAAATTTATTTGCATTCCAGACATCTGTCATGAAGTCATACGGCAAGAAGCATGATTAAGCAAAAGCACTGCACCCAGTATCTTGAGGTAGCCTTCTTTTTACTGGACTTGTCTCCCAAGTCTCTCACTAGGAACAGTAGTTTTGTTTAAAATGCAATAACTAGCAAGACTCAAACAGGACCACAGTCTTATTTTGAACCAGCTGCACATCTGGGAGGCCTTCTCTAATTTTAAGGTAAATCCAGATTCCCTCTCATCCTTGGCAAGCATTTATCTCTTGATCGCCGTGTCCCCTAAACTGCCTCACAGCTAAAGGGAAGAGCTTTCAGGCTGTGCAAGAAAAGTGTAAGCAAGTATTTTTTTGTGCTGATAAGCAGAACCAGGAGAGTTTAAGCAAGCAGCCGGTGGTTAATTCAATCTTTCAGATGAAACTCAGCAAGTCATTTGTTGAAATATACCCAAATATTCCTTCAGTATACTGTAATGCTACAAGATTTCTCATGGGAATATATATATATATGTGTGTGTATTTTAGTGGATTCACACAAGTTTTAAGTCTACAAAATAAATTGAAAGATTAAGCCCTGGGAACCTCTGAGTCTGTATTTCTTCTTCCTACATTTTATTTTCTGTTATTTATGCAGAATATAGATAAATTATGTATTTACAAATGTAACACATCCTCATGGGAATGAGCAGGTTGTTACACTGCGCTTCTCTGGCAGTGTGAGTATCAGACCAGTGCTACAGCAAGACTTTAATATCCATTTATAGGTCTGGTTTTGCAGTAAGTTGGTATGTGTGGAGACAGGGAGCAGTCATGAGAGACTTAGTTATCAGCTGACCCAAAAAATCCCACTTTATGTACTAAAAATGTCGTTAAAATATCTTTGGACCACTTTAAAGAAACCATAATTTATTGTTTAAAACAGATGAACAAACTAAACCCAGCTGTTTCACACAGCAACTTCAAATTTGCTCCTCAATGAAGCTGTACAGCCCAAATAATTTGGAATGTCCTGTTACAACAGAAGAACTGGTTTTATACCCTGTAATTCTGCAGCAGTCTCAGGCCTTGCTTATATATGGTTATAGAGCACACCATACACCTAAATGATTTCAAAGTCACTGGTCCCATTCCCACCACCTTGTTCTTCCCAATCCCAGCAGCTTTCAGTGCTATTCTGATTTTCAGCACAACCTGTTATATAAATGGCACAAAAATGGTCCCATTCATTGTACTGTACATGGGCCACCGAAAGAGTTTAAAATCCTCTATCACAGTTATGATGTTCCTTGACTTAAATATCCTGTTTATAATTCCTACTTGAAGAAAACCAAAAGAACGCTTTTCCAAAGCTTAAAGATTAAATACAGTTTCTTTTAAATAAGCTGTTTGAGATCCCAAATAATGATGAACACAAAAGTAACCAAGCGGAACAAATAGACTTCAACAAACAGAAACCACCACCACAGCACTAAGCCCATCAGTGTGATAACCAAAGTGCACAATCTCCAATCTTTCTTTTGCATTAGTTGTTATCATCAGCTACAATCACCATTTCTTTATCTTGCTAGCACAATCAATTTAAGTGAATTTGATGCTTTTTAGATGGCATTCACCACAGGCAGCATTAAGACTACATAATTTTAGCAATTGCTGCAAGGGCTCTGCAAAGAGCTAATGTGCCACACCACACATGCAAAAGTTGTGCAAAAATCCTCTGCCTCTGTTCCACAGCAGTGAAGTGTCTCTCTTTTGAATGTCAAGGTAACAGTAACAGGTAAAAAACACACAGTTGTCAACTAAGGCCAGTAAATAGAGAGGAATTACACGTTTAAAAATGTACTGATTGAAAATTTATATAAGGCGGATATGTACAGGTCTATTTTGCTACTCATTTGTGACCTCAAATAGCTTTTACATACATGGTTAAATTCTCTTTTAAAAGAAAGACACGCCATACTGCTCATACAGTTCCATCTGAACTGCAAAGACTTGTCTCTTGCTAGTTTTACACTATGTTTCTCTAGTTGGACTACAGCAAAGTAAGAGAAGACCTGCATACCATGCTCCTATGTCTAGGCAAACCCTCAGTCTTACTCAGATCCCTCCAAGGGTAACATATAAAAACATACAACTCCTAATCATCATTTTCCTCATCATCAAACGAGAGAAGGCTGCTGTTTATTTGCTTAGCTGTACTTTGAGGAGTAGTTGCTTCTCTCTTAGTTTTCTGTGCCTCTTTCATCTTCTTTCTTGAACTTACATTGAAGTCCAAATTTTTCTCTGACGAACGTTTGGCTGGTTTCCTGAACATAATTTTTCCATCAGCAGGTTCTGGTTCACCATCTATAACAAAGACAGTAAAATCAGAACACATCTGCACATGTTCACACACACATACAGACCTTCACCGCTATCTATACTTGGTCCCCAGAACCAAGACCAGCGAGACCCTGACAAAACACAACTGTGAAAATAGATTTTTTTGGCCACAAAATGTCCTTCATCCACACACATCTGCTACATGGCAACCAGCCCTTGAAGCCAGGTCTCCTGCAGCTCCTATTAGAAGTGGGTTCTCACTAACCAGAGCTATAACTTCAAAGAGACTGTGAGCAGTCTCACACAATCCAGTCACATCACTTACCAAAATGGAGAGGACAGCTTCATAGGATCCCTTAATTCCACTTCACTGTTTGTACAATCCATGACAACACATGCACTTATTCCAGAATTATGGTGTATCTTTGAAGAGCAAAACGCCACATACACAAGACAAAGCTTTTTAATATCTGCTGTCCTGCTGAAACAGCTAAAAAGATCACATGGCCATAAATCTGCCTTTTACTGTCATATAGGATGAAAGTTTTAGGGCTTGTTTGTATCTGCAAAATCACCAAACTATTCCAAACAAGTAATTCTGCTCCTCAACATGTATTAGAGCAAATAAGTTAAAAACAAGGATTTGTTATCTTCCTTCAAGGATTATCAGAGACAGGCAGAAAGCTACTGCACAAGTAACAGCACCAAGGCAGTATTCCTGGGGAAAAAGTGCAATTGTAAAGTCATGAATTGGACATAAACGCACATGCAGTGATTTGCAACTTGTATAACGTATATCTGACTGGGTGTTAGAAACCATTAGGTTTTGAGCAAGATACTTTTCCTAAAGTACCTTTGTGAAATTCTTTATTCAGTAGAAATTTCCTCACAATATGCATGTGTTGGACAACACGATGTGCTATTTAGTTATAAACACTAAATATCTTTTGTCTTTAGCACGAATTCTTTCCTCAATATATAAGCATTATGACAGAAGAACATTTCAGTGGTAGCATATGCAGCACTGCCTGAAACACTCTTCAATGCATACTCTAAGCATTACAACTATTAAATCTAGTGTCTTAAGGGTTGTGTGGTACAAATGACCACAGAATCATAGAAGCCCAGACTGGTTTGTGTGGGAAAGGACATTAAGATCATCCAGTTCCAGGCCCCCTGCCACAGGCAAGGACACCTCACACCAGACCAGGTTGCTCCAAGCCCCTGTGTCCAACCTGGCCTTGAACACTGCCAGGGATGGGGCAGCCACAGCTTCTCTGGGCACCCTGTGCCAGCGCCTCAGCACCCTCACAGGGAAGAACTTCTGCCTTATAATCAACCTGAACTTCCCCTGTTTCAGTTTGATGCTGCACATGTGACATCAAAGTTTAGGAAATGCACATGGTATATTCTGGGAGGGAAAACCAGCTATTTCTGAAAAACATCACAGCCAAACAACCAAAATGCACTATGTATCATTATCCTCAGAAGCTGGGCATCAATTTTTGGGCTCAGCAGTTTAATATCAAATAATTCCCCTTACTAATTGTTGCTTAAATACCTTGTTTATTTGGAAACCCTGATCTGAAGCACAGTGCTAGCCAAATTCTGGTAGAAAAAGGCATCTGTAAGAAAAATTGCACTTAGGAGCAGACACAACTGTCCATGTACTTGAGTGTGCACACTAGACACAGCACCAGCTCTGCTATAGGAACAGGACAACCAGCTACTGCATCAGCATAAGGAGCATCAAAAGTCTTCATTGAACACTCTTTGCATTTTCTTAGAATAGTAAATTGAAAACTAAACCCCTAAAACTGTACTGAAAGCATATGCATAAAATAAGTCAGATACACAGCTATGTACTCATACATATGGAAAAATGGAAGCCAGAAATCTCAGTGTTACTCCAAAATCTCCTGCGAACTGCACAAAATGATTTCCTCTTGTCTACCACAGAGAAACTGATCTTTGTAATGTGAATTTAATGCCTAATAAGCAAAGTGCATAAACTGAGCAAAGCTCAAAAACTCCATCAAAAAGTCCACTACCTTAGCTCTGATCTTCAAGGCCTCAGTACTGTTTGTGGATCATTGTGCATCAAAGGAAAAGGTTTTACCTCTTGGCCTGGTTAAACACTGGCAAAATTTCATCATATGCTCAAGAACATTCCTTTCAGCAGGAAGGCCAGGGCACCTTAGAATCACAGACTGGTTTGGGTTGGAAGGGATCTTGAGGTCATCCAGTCCAAGCCCCTGCCATGGGCTAGAACCCTTCCACTAGGCCGTGTCGCCCAAGGCTCTGTCCAACCTGGCCTTGAACGCTGCCAGGAATGGAGCATTCACCACTTCTCTGGGCACCCTGTGCCAGTGCTTCACGACCACCACAGGGAAGAGCTTCTGCCTTAGATCTAACCTGAACTTCCTCTGTTTCAGTTTGAACCCATCACCCCTTGTCCTATCACTATAATCCCTGATGAAGAGCCCCTAATGTTCTCAGCCTGTATTTGTACAGGAGGTGCTCCAGGCCCTGATCATCCTCATGGCCTCCTCTGGACTTTGGATCTCAAACCAAGGCCTGAAGACAAGGACCTTCAAATGAAGACAATCACTACAGATACAAAACAGGAAAGACCAGAGCCTCAAAACTGAGTATTTACATGTTTTGAAAAAGTAAGAGGTTCTCTTCACAACAGCCGGCCAGCAACACATCATTTATGATTTATTAACATGTCTTAGCATTCATATGCAGTGGAAAGGAAGACTCTCAGTTGGGAAATTTACTTCCCTGCTACCTTTTCAGCTTCAGAGTTTCACAAATGACCTGATTTGGGGGTTTATATATTTCCTTTTATACACACACACACACACACACACACACACGTATATATATATATCTATATGTATTTGGACCAATACCTGTTAATTTCACTTTCAACTCTGGGATAAAAATCAAAGCAACAAGAAACATAATTAAATCATGAGCATCAAACTTTCTTTATAGTTCCCATTTTTAGAATTGACCTTTATCCAAAAAAAAAGGAATTATTCAAACCTCTCTTTATTAAACTGGAAGTAACCAGCCATCTAAATACCTGCCTCTGAGTAGAAATCAGAATGTAAATCTAGAGGTCAGACTGACAGTGCAAAGATGGCCAAAGACTCAACAAAGCCCACAGCAAGCTGTAGCACACTCACCCACACTTTCATTTCCGGTTTCACACCAGGTCCTCTCCATAGCAGAGGAACAACGAAGCACTTATCCTTTTACTCCCATAAGGCAAAAATAGGAAAAGGAAGCCAAGACCTCATATTAACTACTGGTGAACAAATAGAAACACAATAATGTAGAACAAAAGGCACCAGTCCCCAAAGCATAGCGATCCAACACTCCTGGTACCTACTCCTGTGGATTTTTTTCCTCCAAATGCAAGCTATTTCCAAGGGGGTAATAGGCAGAGGTGCCAAAATCCCATAAGGACTCAGTACTATACTCCTCACGCTACATGCAATTATGTCTGAAAAATTCACATAACTAATGAAAGGCAGTATTAAATGGTCGAAAAGTAAGCAAGTATCAAGCTCCCTTTTATGGATTATCTCTCTTTGGCTGTAAGCAAGAAATAAGTAGTTTGCAACTCACCTGATTCATGTGATTTTAAGGACTCTTTGATTTGCTGTTTAATTTTCATCGCTTCTTCCGCAGTCAAGTCCCCCTTCTTCAATGTTACCACTTGAGGCTGCTCATCTTCCTTGTCACTGACATTGTCACTATCCTCATCTGCGAGTGGAAGCTGCTCTCTCTAGACAGGAGAGAAATAAAAGCAAGTCTGACCACCCCACTCAATCACAGCCACTGAGGATGGGCTACTTGTCTTTGGTTTCACTTCTGCAGTGAGGTTAGTGAAGAGATTTTGCATACTTGTCAATGCCAAACTCTCTCAACACACATTGTCCCAGTGACACTCCAATTCTATCCTGAGACATGGCATCCCCCAGAAAAGAAACTGTATGGGCTCTTTCAATTAGAGACCAAAACAGCAGGAACTTGGAAGGTGAAGAATTCATTCCCTTGTTCCTTTACTGTACAAGCACTATCTGCCATGCAACACTAAGAAAATCTTAAAATGTGTGGGTCCATTTTTGAATCTTCTATGCTGTACTCCAAGCAGCACAGAGAAAGGGAGTCTATGGTGGCCTTGTTATTAAAGCTGCCTAACCAAATCACTATAAGCATTATGGACTGACACAAAGAAAACCATGTCCCTGTTTCCACTCTCTCAAATTCATGCTCTGAGACACAAGAATCATTTGGGATAAAAAATTGTAACAATAAACTTTCTGGCATGCAACAACAGAAAGCTTGGAAGTAACAGAGGAACTTAAAACTCATAAGGAAAAGTATAGATAGCATTACCACTATCTACTGAATTTACCAAGAGCTAAACAAAATCTTCTTGGGGGAGTGAAACAGTTTGTACAACTCAAGGCATGCTTTTATCTCAAATTTCTTTTTTTAACAAATCCTTGTGACTATTACTTTCCTGGAGAGGGTAAGGTGATAATGGCCACTTTATACAGGAACTGAACCTTAAATAGTAGTACAGGGAAATGGTGCAAGTGGCACAAGTCAATACATTGGCTGCTTGTGATAAGAAATATTTTCATGAATAAATTATATATCCAGTGGCACAAATACAGTTCAAATTAAGGCGGTAACAATGGTGGGGCGCTTTCTTTTTTGCTAGCTTAGTTTTCAGCTGCATCGGTTAGGGTGGGATCATGCAAACACCTGCACAAGTACAACCAGGTCACCACCGCCACTGCACAAACAGCACTACCAGCTGATGTTAAACGACCGCTTCAATTTACAGTTCCTTAGTTATAACACATACATAACTCTGCATGTGTTATAATGACAGGCCTCTTTTACAAGGCATCCTGCAAAATCTCAGCAGGAAACACATGCAAAAACACATTGGAAACAGAAAACCCCTCAGAAAAGGCTGCCTTTTAACAAGCTGTCTCCAACACCCCTGCCCTGCCATCACATCAGTTTGCTGACCTGTATTAAGATGATGTTAACTCCTTTTCGATGTTACTTTTTGGCCGCTAAAACACTTTTGTACTATATTATTCAACCGCTATTTATTCTGTTTGGGTTTTGTAAGGCCAGGTGAATTTCGGACATCACTTCTGTTTCCCTGTTGACACAGACCCCTTGCACACTGACTACTCTGCGAGGTGCACCATGCTCCCCTCGGCTGCGATCATCAGAAACAGCAGCGGGAAAAGGCGCTGCAATTTCTTGATGGTTTGAATCGAAATAAGACGACAGTTTTCTTAATTTTAAGCAGGCAATTACTGTTCCACTTCTCCTACAGGGACAAAGCTGTAGTGCTGCTTCCCCACCGCCTTCCACTTAAGCCTGGGGCACGGGAGGCCCCATGAAGCGGGGGCTGCCGCTTCCCACCCCCGGAAAGGGCCACTCGCCGGGTTACAAAGGAAGCAGGGCCCCGCACAAGCGGAGGGCCGCGCTGCCCAAGGCCGTTACCTTGGTTTCCACCGTGGGGCCCTCCCGATACCCGACCTGCCGCTTGAAGCGGCTGAGGAAGGCGGGCTCGGCCGGCCGCACGTAGGACACCTGGTTCCGCTTGCTCATGGCCGCCACCGAGCCGCCTTCCCCTCAGCGGCCCTCGGCACGTCAAGGCACGTCCAGCCAATGGCAGAGAAGACAGAGCGAAATGGCCGCGCTGACGTCACGTGCGGGAGGGGGCGGAGCCACGTCGGCTGCGTCTCTTGGCGTCAAATTTGAACGCTCCGCGGTTTAGCGAGCGGCGCTGCGCGGGCGGGCGGGCGGGAGGGAAGGAGCATGGCTTCCGCCAGGAAACGTAAGCGGGGGCCCGGCAGCCCTGAAGAAGGTGAGGAGCGTTTTAGCCGCATGTGGGGAGCGGGCAGCGTGAGAGGGGGGGGTTCACCCGCATGTGGGAACCGAACCGAACCGGAGCGGCGCGGTGTGGTGCCCGTGGCCTGGTGAAGGGCGGCTCTGCTGGGCTCCTCAGCACAAGACGGGCAAGGAGCTGCTGGAGAGGGTTCAGTGAAGGCCGTAAGGGTGATGGGGGTCTGGAGCATCTCTTTTGTGAGGAGAGATTGCGGGAGCTGGGGCTGGTTAGTCTGGAGAAGAGCAGACTGAGGGGGGATTGGGGGTTGGACAAGATAATCTTTACAAGTCACTTCCAACCCGGCCGATTCTGGGATTCTGTGGTGTCACCCATGTGCGAGAGCTAAGAGGGTCGAGTAGGGGCCTGGCTGGGCTCGGTGCCCCATGGAGAGGCCGATGCTCCGGGGCTGCGATCCTGGAGGGGCCACGGTGGGGTCGGAGCAGCGGCACGGCGAACAACGATCCCCGCCGCTTCCAGGAGCGCTTTTGGCATTGACATCCTTGAGTGATATCCCTAAGGGCTTCCCATAGTTGATAAGTGTGAGCTGCCCTCCCGAGCGGGAAGCTTCACAAACCCGGCTGCTCTCAGCTGCCGCGCGTTAATCGGTTCGTTCTCTGTAATGTTATCGAGTTTGAATTAGCTGTGAGTAAGGGGCTGGAGCACCTCCCATACAAAGACAGGCTGAGAACATTGGGGCTGTTCAGCCTGGAGAAGAGAAGCTGCGTGGAGACCTCAGAGCAGCTTCCAGTGTCTGAAGGATGCTGGAGAGGGATTCTTCATCAGGGACTGCAGCAATAGGACAAGGGGTGATGGGTTCAAACTGAAACAGGGGAAGTTCAAATTAAACATAAGGAAGAAGCTCTTCCTTGTGTGACACCGTGCAGATGAGGCCCTCAGTGATGTGAGTTAGTGGTGGCCTTGGCAGTTCTGGGGAATGGTTGGGCTTGGTGATCTTTTCCAACTCAGTTCATTCTATGGTTCTGTGAAAGCAGGCAGGCTCACACAGCAATGGCAAAGTATTAATGTACCTACACAGCAGCAGCAAGTTATTTGTGTAGTATTAATGTTAATGAGAAGGTTAATATCTTTGTGCATCTTAATTCCACTTGTAAAGGAATCTTCTTACAACAAAACCTATGCACTCTTGGAGACTTTATGAGGTCTTTATTATTGGAGTATTTTGGTAAATCTTTCATTGTCACTTGTTTTTTTTCTTTTACATCTGATTATGTTAATATTTTGACTAACCTGTGTGAAATAATTTCATGTCAGAGTCATCCTTAAGTAGAAGACAAGTAACACTATCTACCTATGTAGTTATAGACCCTTGAGATGTGAAGCTGTGCAAAATGATGCTGATAACTGCAAGAGACCTTAATGCATTAGAGTGCTCTATATTACTTCATTAAAATGAAAGGAATTTGACTACTTTTTTTAAAAAGTGAAAGCTGTGAGAGCTGTTCAGGTTTAGGAAGGTGAGTTTTTGCAGTGATGACAAAAAAAACTATTTCCTGCTGTGTTGGTTTACCTGCAGTTGAGTTAGCAGTTATAAAATATAAAGGGAATATACAATTCTATTAGTATCCATGTTCCTAATTCTCCCAAACACTTGCAAACCCTTATATATGTTAATTTAAGAGCCTACTCACACTGCAGGACTGGAATTTTCTCTACCTTTGCAAGAAACTTAGAACTTTCTGTCAGGGGAAGATAGTTACTTACTATTGTTGTAAAGTTCTGATTCGTGCAGGAAGCAGTTATTTGCAAGGCTCTCCATTTATCTCCCTCATTTTCTATTTCTAAAATATTTTCAATTTAAATGACTTTTTTTAAGCAATAATTTTATCTTGTTTAATTATGTGTGTTTCATTTTTATTTTCTAGGAGATTTATGTGACTCTGCATTACCTTTGAACACATCTAGGTAAACTAATATTGGACAGTTTGCATGTATGAATAATCACATTTGTGTCAGGGATAATTTATAATGGTCCATGTGTTTGAGCACACAAAGATAGAAAAGTACTGTCTGTCCACTTTGGCTGCTCCCCAGAAAGTCCAGTTTGGTTCCTACCTGGAAAGTTTGGCATTAGAATGCCCTGGAAAAGTCTCGACCCTTGGAGACCTTTCTAGGTATTGCTGGCCACTTCTTCTGACGTAGGCTGGCCCCCTGCATCGGAATGAGTGTGTATTTTTGTCAGTATAAAAGCCCAAGCCTCATGCAATGCGAGGAGGCAGAGCCTCATACCACCCGGGTCAACATTGCCTACCTGGGGATGCCCGCTAAGATTGAGCCTGCCACCTCGCCCTGCCATGAAGTCTCTTGGAGCTTGTTTGCTGATCATCCTTGCAAGGTCCTTGGGGTTGGTAAGATAACCAAATGTCAGAAGTATCCTTTACTGTATTTGCTAATATCTCTATATTTTCCTATATTAATAAACTGGTTGTGAGTTCTCCATTTGTGTCTCGTTTCTCTCACCCGGAATACTCGAACTCCGGAACAACATTGCATATAAAGTGCAAACAACACCTACTATAACTGTGAAATAAACTTAAAGCTTTTCTTTCGGTGTTTTCCTGCGCTATTCTGTTCCTTTCTCTTTTTTGCCAAAGCTAAAAACTGGTAAGAGTTGTAACACCCTTGTGCTATAACTGCCTTTTGGGAAAGAATGAAGTAAATTCAAGATTGCTACCACTTCATTTAAGATGTGAGTTCTTTAATATTATATCTGTATATACTGGTATTTATGCCAGAACTTCTCAAAGTTTTAATGTCAGAGTCATGTGCTTACTCAAGCTAAATTTACTAGTGCATCTTCTGATAAATGTGATGAAATAGGTTAGGCAGCTTTTAGATATAGGTGCTGCTGTACTTCATTGGACTCGTGGATCAAGAATTGGTTGTTCTTTCCCTTCTTGTGAGCAGCAAATTGAAATGCTAGCATTTTTCTTGCTGGAATGTAGCATTATCCACTCCATTTATAGTCTTTTTCAGTAGAGAGAAGGATGCTTGAAGCTCCTGGTCTTAGAAACTACTGAAACACTTGTAACAACACTGTTTTTGCATGTCTTAGATTCACTGTGAAATGTGTTCTTTTGGAGCTAAAATTACGTGGAATAGCAATGAATTCCAATAATTCCATGTTGTTTGCTTTTAAATCTGCACATTGTGACCTTCATTAAATCCATGGCTTGTAGTGAATTGATGTGTACACAGTGAATTGATGCATATAATATACTACTATTACAGCTAATAGTGGTATATTTTCAGGAGGGACCTTTGTATGACTTTATGTTTACTCTGATTTTTGTGATCTAATTTTCTCAAACAGCTGCTAAATCCATTTTGAAGTAATCTAATGCATAAATATTCCTTTAGTGCTGAAGGTGATGCTATCAAAGTCTGCGTAAGGGTACGTCCACCTTCAGAGGGAACCGCCTTAAGCAATGGACATCAAGGCTTGTGTTTATCTGTTCTTTCCTCAAAAACCATCCGTCTGCATTCGAAGCCTGAGCCAAAGATCTTCACTTTTGATTATGTTGCAAATATGGAAACAACACAGGTAATGAATGACTTCCAGAGTCTTGGAATACTATTGCAGATTTTCCTCGCTTTCTGGCAACTGCTACACTAAATCTTTGTGAAGATGTGTGATGCTTTGGGTCTTATTTTTTTCACTGGTCAGATTGGTGATATGCAGTTATAATACAGAAATGTTGGGATAAATTCTGCTCTCTAATAGTTTTAATGTATTTTTTAACTTAATTTCTTTAAAGTTTGTGTTGAAATTGGAACTTCTATTTGTAAATGTTACAGTAACACCTTAGAAAATAAACCTGCCTGTTGGGACAAACATAGAAATCACTGGCAGTCAGTAGCTGGTGATTTGTATATTGGGAACTTAAGAGTTTGTAGCCTGTTTGTTATATTTCTTTCTTATATTTTCCTTTCGAGCAGATGTATTATTCATCTGGGACTGATAATATGGGAAAGAAAATCCTTCAATTTAATTTCTGTGATTGTGCTTGTGATTCTGAACATAATTTTAATTCCTCTAAGACTTCAGTTCCCTTTAGCTTCTGTTTAAAATCACCCTTAAATATGTTAATTTAAGAGCCTACTCAGCCTTCCCCACCCCCTAAAACCCAAAAAACCTACCCACTCTAGGCTGTTAATCTGTAGCTAGGCTGCTCTTGCAGGTCTAAGAAATCTGTGAAAGCAGATGAGGTTAAGAGTTGGGCAGACCTGTTGAATATGCCATTTGGCAATGCAAATGTTGAAAGTTAACTGTATTTGGTAAGTGTCATGGGCTTAATTTTGACAGTATAAACCATATAATCAAAAACACTGAACCAAAATAAGTATAATATCTATTTGAAAGCTGTTACCATGATGCTGAGTTTTGTTATTTTTCTTTCAGTTTATCAAGGAATAAATGTTTTTCAGAGGAGTGGTTTATGTCACAAAGACTTAGGATGTATTATTTTGCTGTGAGAAGTCCAGGGAACACGATACATGTGTAATATTAAGGAATGCAAGTGTTCAAGGCCAGGTTGGATGGGGCTTGGAGTAACCTGGTCTAATGTGAGGCATCCTTGCCCGTGGCAGGAGGTTGGAACTGGATGATCTTCAGGTCCTTTCCACCCTGAACCATTCAATGATTCTATTTTATACATTATAAAGCTATGATCTGTAAAATGCTGGTAGAAGCAAGACTTAAATGAGTGGTGCCAAGTGTTT